TGGGGCCGTCTTGGAAAATCCTTAGGAGCCTCGGGAGCCATCTTGGGGCCAAATTAGAGGAGATCGATCACAGGACGGGGCCGTACTAAATTACCCCCCCCCCAGGAGGCCAAAATGTGGCCAAAATTAGAATCAAATCAATGGTTTGGGCTTCCTCGCCGAGGCCATCTTGGACGCTCCATCCCCTCGCTGAAGGCCCTGTCCAGGTCCAGGGGGGGGGGAGGGCAAGCTAGGTGCGCTCGCGTCATATCTAACATCCTACCCCTCCCTCCCATCCCTTACCATGGCGCAGATCTCCTCTCTATTCGCACAGTCGGATGTCGCAGCATGGCATAGCATGGTGTTGAAGATCAACGCGTAGCGTGACATAGTATGGCGTGGCGACGTCCCAAAGTTGGGGGGTGGCTTCTGCGGCCCAAAAGATCAACGTTTTGGGTGCTTATTTGGAAGGATCGAAAACTATGCCGTAGCATGGCACTGGAAATAATGACGCCAGCGCTGCAGCGGGAGCACGATTCGGAACGAGCGGAAGCGTGTAAATGAGGCCAGCGCTGCAGCGGAAGCACGATTCGGAACGAGCGGAAGCGCGGAAATAAGGCCGGTGCTTCAGCGGGAGCACGATTCGGAGCGAGCGGAAGCCCGAGAATGAGGCCAGCGCTTCAGCGGGAGTAACAGTTTGGAAAAAAATCGAAGCGAAAACCCAGTTCCCGGGAATCCTGTGTGTAAAAAACAGTTCGCGGATGGGGGCCGGATATCTTCCGGACGTCATCAGGGGAAAGAGGAGATAAGTGTCAGATGATGCAATTGTAGAGGGCTAGACGCCTCCCCACAGGGAAAGAATAGGGGTTGGAAGAGGAAACCCGCTGAACGACTCACGCCCGAAAGGGCTAGCGGGATTATTTATCCGCATGGCCCTTCCCTCCATCCTTCTCGTCCTGACACTCCTCCGCTTGTTTCTGCTCTCTCGATGCTCTTCCTCTCTTATGTCCTGCACACTGTTGCCTCATCATTATCATCATCATCATCATCATCATCATCATCATCATCATCATCGTCGTCGTCGTCGTCGTCGTCGTCGTCAGCAGCATCAGCATCATCATCAGCAGCATCAGTAGCATCACCATCATAATCATCAGCATCACAGTCCCCCCCCTCTACAGTTCCCCTCCTCTCTTCTGGTGTCCTTCCATCCCATGTAAAAGCGCGGCCGCAGGAGTCGGTGCAGAGCCACTTGGGCCGCGTCCACTTCTGACGGAAGCCTGCTTAGATGTTTGGGCGTGTTGCATTCCGTACAGCTGTACACGCGGTCTTCCGTTCGGGAAGCTTTGCTCGGAATCCAGACAAATCCCACGCCGGCGGCCTAAGGAGGAAGAGGGGGAGGGTCCGTTCACGCACGCGGCGGCAAACTGTACGCACACGAATAGCTGCACAAGGAACTGAGGCTAGGGTCAATGCGAGTAGCTCCTTGGTGATGCGATTCTGCATAGACAGTTCTGAGTTCGACGACATGAAGGAAGTTGGTCTCACCATGGTGGGCCAGTTTCAACCAAGAGACGGCGAACGAAGCAAATACTGTACGATAGCTTTGATTCGCAGTGTTGTCGCTGCAGCCACCTAACATGTTCTGAGTCTGTGCTGTCGGGCCATTGGCCCCCCAGCTTCGGGAGCGGCGGGCGCTCCCGGGGACCCGAGAACAGGTGTTCGGGTTGGAGTTGTGTTTACCAGGTGAAGATGAGTTCTGGCAAGTGGCCGAATAACGTTTGACTTACCCAACGCTCCTTCAGTTGGCTTCTCGTCTTGAGGAGGAGGAGGAGGAAGAACAGGAGGAGAGGTAGGATCAGGAGGAGGAAGCACCCAGCCTGCGGCCTCGTCATCATCCTTGTCCTCCTTGGCATCGCCCTCAGATGCATCATAATCCCCACAGTCGTGTATCGTTATCCTCATCATCCTCTTGTCGTCCTCCTCATATTTTTTCTCCCCCCTTCCCTCAATGCTGCTAGTCGTCTTGTATGGGTTGGATACGTCTCTGGATACTTTTGTTTAACTCGTCCGATACCCACCGCAGACCTAACCGAGCGGTGTCCGACAGGGTTGCGGGAAAGGTGGTGGGAAGCCGAAAATGCGGGCTTTCGCTAATGTCCAAATATTAGATTTCCCTAGGAGCGAGCAGTATCGATTGGTCAAGAGGCCGTATGCGATTGCCTAACGAAAATCGTAGCCCCGGAGTGCCAGTCAATGCGGGGGGGGCGTATAGTGATTGATAATTTGGCACGTCTCCAATATCAAATCATTCGGCTCGCTAACCAGAATCAATCAAAGATCGGCAACGCCTGGGTCAAAACAGCTCTGACGTGCCAGGCAGAGCTGTGACAACAGTATGTAGCCTTAGCGGGTTCGAGGGCTCGCCCACTTGATGAATAAAATGTGACCCAGTCCAGGAGCACCGTTCATCCATGCTCCCCGTTGGCCCCCGTACCCGTAGCTCACGGGCCCGATGCAAAGCACGAGTGCACAAGACCATTTCAGAAGTTTACACGTCCCGAGCCGAGGTGCGAACGTCGCGCATTCAGACTTGAGAGTGTTGGCGTTCTCTACGAAGCGACGTCTGTAGGATCCTGTCTGCTTCGCACCGATGCGCGAGATATCAAACAGCAAATGGGCAGATGGCCTCAGGTGCTGAGGCTCCTGGGTCTCCAGACCAACCCGTCATAGATTGCCTTACAAGTTCTGTGGTCGTAGCCGATGAGCCAGATGTAAGCCATGTGTAGGGGCCACAAGAAAAAATGATGCTAGGTCTGCAGCCCGCGGACACAGCATGGGTTTCCACTAAAATAGTGTTTGATCGGCCGCGTATTAGCGTACCAGTCGTCGGTGGATGATTCGCTTGCCCAGCACGGGCCACTACGATCCACTGTTATCAAATTATCGTTCCTCGTCTAGTATGTTTTCTTCTCCGTCATTCGTTTTCTTCGCATCTCTCTTATCATCTCCCCTCGTCCCCCTTTCTCTCTTCGCTCACTTCTGACATCATCACCTCTGGATGTTGCCACGGATACCATCGTCGCCATGTTTAGAGATCCAGCTAGACTTCTGCCCCATTGGTGCTGCCGCACGTATAGCTGTCGAAGCGTCGTCGCTTTCCCGCGTCCCCGGGGGATCCAGCGAGGTGCCGTCCCACGGAGATCCAGCTATTGTAATTGTCAAAGTGGCGTCGGCTTTCTGCGACCCTGAGGGGCTTAGCGAGGTGCCGTCCCACGCAGATCCAGTTACAGCGAGTATGTCGAATAAGAGATGGGCTTGGCGACAGGTGCCCCGCAGAAGTATCTTACCCCCGACTTGGCATCGCTCGGACGTGTGCATGCATGCTCGGCGACGCCCATCGAGGAGCATCCTGGACCATCGAGCAACAAAAAGCGCGCGCGAAATCGAAAAATGTACGGGGAATGGACGTGCGAGCGATGGCGAGCCGATGGCCCAGGTACCCAAAGCAGCTTAGGGGTACCGCGGGGCATTCAAAGATCGACGAAGAATGTGCCCAAAGATTACTTGAAAAAACATGTATGACCGTACGTGTCTATTATAATGGTCAGAGTTGCGTCGCTCTCTTGCGTCCCTGGGGGGTCCAGCGAGGTGCCGCCCCACGCAGAGCCAGTTACAGAAGTCATATCAAGTAAGACACTGGCCTGACAGCAGGTGACCCGTGGAGGGGGTTTGCCCCCTGATGGCCCTGGGAACCCGCACAAGCTCTGGGACATTGAGGGGCCTTCAAAAATCGACGAAGCATGTGCCCAAACATTTCTTGAGGTAAGATCTCTTATCGCATGTGTCTACTGCAGCTGTCGGAGCGTCGTCGCTTCCTTGCGTCCCTGGGGGGTCCAGCGAGGTGCCGTCCGACGCAGATCTAGCCAGACCCCGCCTCCCTTCCAGGATCCATTGCGATCCGATCGATCGGATTCGATATCGGCTCGGGCCAGCCTTGTGCGGGTCGCTTCCGATGTTCCGGCGATCCGAGGTGGCCCCATGTTTGGATGGCGTTGTTGTGCATCTTGGCGCAGCCGATCCGATTCGATCCCGACTCCGTGCCGATGCGGCTTCAACTCGATACACGTTCCGATCCGATCCAGTTTACCGATTCGGTGTCGACTGCTCCTGCCTTCGGCGCCGCTTCACGTGCCAGCGACGCCACTGTCCCGCTCTTGCTTTCGGCGCCGCTTCACGTGCCAGCGACGCCACTGTCCCGCGCCACTGGGGTCCAGCACACCGCTGCCGCACGCACGCGCGCACATCCAAGAAGAACATCGGCCCTCTGTGTGCTGCCTAGCGCTATAACCTCAGAGGAGGGCCAGTTGAGACAACGTAGTTGGCCTTTGGGTGAGACAACGTAGTTGGCCTTTGGGAGGGGGGGGGGGGCCTCGTCGCTACGGCTGGACGCAGCTCGGAAAATTATGTCAACGGAGTTCCCCACACAAGGATGTTACGGGGTTGGCGGGATCACGAGGGCATAAAAGCAGTGCCAAAAAATGAAGGCCTACGATGTCCATATATTATCATGGGAGGGCCGACGGAGGCGAGGAGGGGAAGCAGCATTGGGGGGGAGGATGGATGTGTAGGACGCGGTCAAAGGAGGCGGCGCTCGGCAGCATTAACCTCAGCAGTGCAGAGTGGGCAGTTCGGGCGAGCAAGAGCAGGAGTGCCGATAAGGCGGGGAGGAAGGAGAAGAAGGCGTGGAAGAAAGAAGTGGTGATGATGACAACGGTTGACGAGGAGGATGGTGTCGACGTCGTTCGGCGCCGGTGTTTTCACGCGTATTCACAGCTGGGGATTTTATTGAACATCGAGATCAAACGATTGCAGGAGCGGGCCGCCCCTTTGAGCAGTATCTCACCCCCGTGGTCGTCACTCTGGAGCAGTATCTCACCCCTCGAGCTGGCCGCGGCTGCGGACTGTCGCTCCTCTGAGCAGTATATCACCCCTCATGGTCGTCATTCTGGAGCAGTATCTCACTCCTCGAGCAGGCCGCGGCTGCGGACTGTCATGTCCGCAGCCGCGGAGGCCGTGGCCGCTTCGTCAAGGGCGCTCTTGCGCTTCAATGGCGTAATGGAGAGGCCGAAGTTAAGCGGCGGGCCATTCGGGATCGCCATCGTTTTCTGCATGTAGTGCGCCCACAATTCTGTGTCGGGCGGGGTCACCTTATAGTACGTCTGAACAACGAAAGTGTTGTCGTTGTTGCATTTTTTGGCACTCAGGAAAAACGTCCCATCGGCGCGACCCAGCCATTGCACGGCGGTGGAGAGGCCACCAGCAGTGAACTGGAATTTCGCTGGTGCCTCCTGGCCCGCGGGCTCGAGGGCGCACGTGGCCACCCGCGTGACGCGCAGGCCCTGCGCGGTGTCGGGCACTGTCGTCTCCTCGTCCTCTTCCGGGTCCTGGAAGGTGACGAGGACGCGGACGGAGGTGACCGTCGAGCCGTCCACGACAGCGCAGCGCAGGTCAGGGTCAAAGGTCACGGAGGCGCACTTCGCGAAAGGACACGCGGTGTTGCTGGTGGCGATAAGGGTTGGGTCCAGGCGCCACGAGCCGACGACGCCAGCGGATGTGAGCGTGGGCAACAGCAGCTTGGCCTCGAGGTTGTTCACCTCGCGCAGCGCGTTGATGCGGTAGATCAGGCGGACGGAGTAGGGGACGGCGCGGAGCGCCTGCAGGAGCTTCTGGAAGCTCGCGTCCGCGCCTGTCAAAGGATCCGGGAAGCCTGGAATCTGCATGGCCACATTGTAGTACAGCATGGCAGCGCAGCGGCCTGTGCCATCGGTCAACTCGAGGTGGAAGATCCACCGCATTTCGATGGGCGCCTCGCCGTGCTCGGCGCAAATGGCGTGGTCGCCGTCCGGAACCTGCTTCTTGCACGTCGCGCAGCAGCGCATGACGAAGCCTTCGTCGCGCAAGACAGGGGTCACGCCCATGATCGCTACGCTTTGAGCTTCGTACACTCCATCGAGGTCCCGGGCGTTGCCAGGCACGATGACCGTTGTCAACACAGACAGCGACACTGTGGAGGTCTCGCAAGTTTTGTAGTCCTTCGCGATCGCAGCTGTGAGGGAAGTCGCCGGGCCGCCGTCCGTAACGGACGTCAGCAGGGTCTGCGCCAGCTCGGCGGGGCACTCGGCTACCTGCGTCGACTCGGTGGCGCGGAGCTCCCAGGACGCAGTGCCGTTGGCGGCGACCTCGCGCTTGTCGACCACTTGGCACAGCGCGACGGCAGTCCCTCCAGTCCACTTGACAAGTTCCGTTGCGTGGCGGCGCCAGAAGGAGCACTTAATTGTTTTTTCGCCGGCCTGGAGGATCGAGATGCAAACGCACCCTGGGTCGTATCTTGTCTCCTGCCACTTCGCCCCGGGCTGACACGTGACGACGCCGAGGACACAGTGTTGGACGTCGGATTGAACCTTGGCGATACTCGCGATGTCCAGGAAAGGGTGGCGCGCGGGAACGGCAGCCCACGCGCCCTCCGCGGGGACTGTCTCCACGACGCTTTTCGAGCCCGCGGCCGTCTTGATCTGGACGTAGTACGGCAGCCGCGACGTGGTGTACTGGCTCACCTTGCGGATGATCTTGATGTTGGAAATCGGCAGCAATAGTTTCTCCGTCTTGGTTTTCGTGGCTTTGTTGCGCAGCTCCTTGGCCGCGGGGCCGAAGGCCTCCACGAACGCGATCTCGCCCATCCCGTCGCCGCCAAAAAGGTGCACTTCGCACTTGAGCTTTTCCCCCTCGGTCCAACCTCTGCCCTTGCCTTTGCCCTTGCCTTTGGCGCCTGCGACGCCGGTTGCGATGCAGCTGGTTGTCCCAGGGGGCGCTGCTGCGACGCGTCGCCCTGGTCGGCCTGGAGAGCGTTGAGGTTCACCAAGCGGATGAACACGGGCTGGCCAGTCAACCGCCCGTCGCCCGTGAACTCGCTGGGCTGCATCATCAGTTTCGCTCCCGCCACGGCTGCAGAAAGCGCGCCTTGGACCGGCCGGGGGGCGCAGCAGTCGCGGTGTAACTCGGGCTGCGTGAAGCGAGGCGCCTCGGAACCAGAAGAATATATGTGGCATTGTGATGGCGACGGCGGCCACCACTATGAGATGATGAGTTGCAGAGACGATGATGTATTGGTATTCTAGGGAGTCGTTCGGCTTACAGGTGCGAGGGTGGAGGAGGGATAACGGGGGAATGAGGTGGGCAGTGGAGGAGGAGCAGGAGATAGGAGATAAGGCGGAGGGAGGAAAGGGAAGAACATGATGAGTTTGCGGAGCCACTCCCTCAGCACTCGAGTCAAAGGTATCATAACGGATTTCCTGTTCGAGTTGTAGTCTTCCTTTCGGGCAGGGTGTCATCATTTTGGGGGGGGGCTACGAGGATTGCATGTGCGAGTGTGATTCTGGGATACCCTGAGGGGTGGGAAGGGGCACGGAACTTTGTAAATAGTATGGTCTTGGGGTACCCTCCTCGCTCAGGGGGGGGGGCCTCCCTGGAGGGGTGGGAGGGGCACCAAACATTGTTAATAGTATGGTTTGGGATACCTTCCTCGCTCAGGCGGGGCCTCCCTGGAGGGTTGGGAGGGGGGGGCACGGAACCTTGTAAATACTATGGTTTTGGGATACCTTCCTCGCTTAGGCGGGGCCTCCCTTGAGGGGTGGGAGCGGCACCAAAGCTTGTAAATAGGATGGTTTTGGGATACCCTCCTCGCCCAGGCGGGGCCTCCATAGAGGGCTGGAAGGGGCACGAAACCTTCTGAATGGTATGGTTTTGGGAACCCTCCTCGCTCAGGCGGGGTCTCCCTAGAGGGTTGGGAGGGGCACGAAACCGTGTAAATAGGAGAGTTTGGGGATACCCCCCTCGCTCAGACAGAGCCTCCCTGGAGGGGTGGGGGGGCACGAAACCTGATAACTAATATGGTTAACGAATACCATGCTCGCTCTGGCGGGGCCTCCCTGGAGGGGTGGGATGGGCACGAAACCTGACATCTAGTATGGCTTGCGAATGCGGTAGGTATGGTATGGCAGGTATGGTATAGTATAGTACGTATGGTATGGCAGGGGATGACAGGTAATACGATAGGTATGGTATGGCAGGTATGGCATAGCATAGTACGCATGGTATGGTAGGTTAAGGTATGGTATGGTATAATACGTAATAGTATAATACGTATGGCATTTTTAGGGTATGGCAGGTATGGTATGGTATAGGTGAAGGAAGCGGAGAAGGAGGAGAAGGAGAAGGAGAAGGAGAAGGAGAAGGAGAAGGAGAGGGTGGTTCATGAAAACAAGAACCCCACTCAAGATGTGGGGAAGTAGTGCGTCTGGACCCTTTGCAGGGGGGGGTCTGGGGAGCGATTTTGAGTTGACGCTGCTGAATTCGCCTTGCTCCGATAACTCTCGCTATTGTCTTGCGCCCCTGGGGTGGCCCAGCAGGTAGGCCAAACGAGATGTTGCCTCCCTGCGCGTCGCCGGGAGAGCAATCGTCGCCGCGTTGTTGCGCCCGTTGGGGGGTCCAGTGGAGTGCCCCTCCGCGCACATGATACTTCGGCTCCTTCGGCTCTTTTATATGCCTGATGCACATCGACTGTAGCCACCACTTTCCTGCGCCCCTGTCGTCCAGTGGATCGCCGCCCCACGCAGGCCCAAACGGCACCTCGCCTCTCTAAGTGCTGACAAGCGTGCAAGCGTCACTGTTTCTTGAGCTTCAGCTGGGCGCGGCAGAGCGGCGTCCTCGAAAGACGCGGTGACGCTTCGCCGCCGTGAGTGTTGCAAGGCGTAGACTGTCGCGGCTTGATCGGCTCCTGGAAAGTCTAGCGGGGCAACGCCTTGCACATTATCCTATAAATTGGCGTGCCTTCGGAAGTTGCCTTATATTGCGAGTAGGTCGGGTAAGTCCTTGTGTACTTGGTTGGGCTTGATGGGGGGCGGTCACAGAAGTCGTGGGCTCAGGGCCTCCCTCCCTACAGTTGCTTCGTGGTTATCACATGTTCATGCTCATCGGACGCATAGGTCGAATATGTGATGGGAGGCCCCCTGGTGAAACACCTTCCCGAAAACCACAAATCTGGTGCTTTAGCCCCACCTAAACGAACTGTCAGCAGTGAATGCAAAGGCGTCCTGCGGTTTCAGGTCAAATGTCATTTCTTTGGCATTGCATTCCCAGTAGTAGCGGTTACAGACAGTGGTAGAACGACGCTCGTAGAAGAGCGTTCGAAGACTTTAGTAATTTTAATTTTACCGTCAGTACATATGTCTTCATGCAGCGGTTCCCCGCTGAAACAGCGAGGATTCCGTTGCCGAGCACAGCTTTGACGGCTTTCTCACACAAAGACCAGTTGCCAGTCTTTCGTTCCACTCCTTTCTTCAACAGCACTGCGCATATGGAGCAGGAGAGGCAGAAGAGATGTGAAGATCGGCGAGGAAGTCCAGGCGCATATACACGTCGTCCATGTAAAGGTGGCAGTACTGCTTTGCTCCTGTCATTGCGTTGCATATTTACATCATCCTCGATCGCTATTCTTGATGCGTTATCCGACTCGGTCTCTCCAGTTGTAGGTGCATGAGCAGCAATGTAAGAAGTGCACTGGCGCTGTCAATCGCCAGCTCTGCTTGTGTTGCTCGCAAGATATGTTGCTCGAGCAGGCAATCATGGGACTTTGTTGATGGCGACAGCTGGAAAGTGCGAAACATGGGTGAGCAGCACAGAAGTTGCAGAAAACCGAAAACTAGTTCAACAGTGGCACGAGGGTGCACCGCAGACGTCACAGCAACGCGCAGCATGTGTGTCGTGATTTTGATAACGACGCCGTGCGTAGCCCAGCTCTTGGTGTCGCCATTGGCTTGCGGATTGCAAGGCTTGGATGTTGGGGTTGATCGTGGTCGGTGCTATTGAAGAGCCCGACCATTTGAAGCAGCAGGCCCGTGTGCCTTCCCGACTACAGAGTCCCAGCGGTGCCACCTTCTCATGACGGGATCAGCAAATATTTTCGTTGCCGAAGCGCCCCAAGACAGCCGACAGAGTAGCCCAAGAGGCCCCAAGACGGCCACAGAAGCCCCAAGGCGCCAACAAGAAGCCCCAGAGGTACCCAAGAGGCCCACAGAAGGCTTCAAAGAGGCCCCACAAAATATAGAAAAACATACGGCTCAGTTAGTTGTGGGCCTTCCAGACTCTCCAGCCCAAACGTGATTCCCGCGGTGATGCAAGAATGCCCTAGGGGACCCAAGAAAGCGCCCCCAGACAGGCCAAGAGGGCCCCAAACCTCTCCAAGCCGCTTGCGTTGTGCCAGCCACGTAGCAGGGATCCTCCGCCGGACTGTGCTGGTCTCAAAACGGAAACTGAAGTTGGCCTACGGTCCCCAAGGCCGTCCAGATACCCGTCATTGTGCTCCGCACGCTCCATGGGTTCTCCGACAGGACGCGTTGAGCTCATAACGGAAAGAGTATGGTAAGGAGGGAAGGAAGAGGTTGAGGACCGAAAATGTTTAGACGCAGTACGTGTTCCAAAGTTTCCCGCTTTGTTTTGCGCACCAGGCGTTCCCGGAGCTTTGTGGACGGAAGGTTGCTTGCGAAACCTCAGGACACCCCAGCACCGCCCCAGGACCAGCTCGAGTCCGCTCCAAGGAAGCCCAAGACGGCTCGTAGGAGAACCCGATACTCCTCAGCCGGCCCCAAGACCACTCCCCAATGGCTCGATCCCCGCCGCCGTTGAGAAACACTAGAGGGAGCGAAATGTTGAGACGCACTTGAGAGAGCGCAACGTTCACAAGTAGTATGATTTCCTATTTGCTAATTTCACCCGTGCCGACGATGGCTTCCAATAGTTTTCTAGCGGAATTTGAAGATGGAGCAAGCAAGGAGAAGGTGTGGGAGGTCGAAATGGTGGAGGAGAGTTGAGGGACAGAAGGGAAGGGGATGGAACAACAGGCGTGTATCGGGAGGGATGTGGTACAGTACAGTGGATGTCGAGCCATCGTGTCGTTATTTTGCATGTTGGGTTTGCATCTGGTTGTGTTGCATGCATGCAGCGCTGAGTCCGCCCCACGATCGGTGGAGGGTGAGGAGGAGGAAGAGGAGCGAGAGGTGGAGGAGGCGCTGGAAGAAGTAGAAGGGGGTGGACCCCCAGAAAGAATTGGACAGCCGAAAAGTGGAGCTTGCAATTGTGTCAGGTGTACGTGGGTGCCTGGGTGTGCTGGTGTGCGTAGTGTACGCGGTGTGATTAGTGCGATTTGTGCGCGCGGAGCGTGCCTGATGTGCGCGGCAGGCCCTCCCCACACTGCCAAGACCAGTTACAACTTCACTGCGACTACTGACCACACTGCCAACCACCGCCATCCAAGACAATTGTACCAATGACTATGGCTAGGCTTACAGTCGCACTACCACCTGTTAGCACCACTTGAAGCCACTCTCTTTGCGTAAGCGGGGCGCTGGATCATGAAACTGGCTGGTCTGGACAGGCATCTTCCGATGTTGTTTGCGTTGGGGAGGAGAGAAAGAGGTTGCGAGCAGAACGCCGTGAGACACGAAAACTGCACAGCTTTACTTGTCGCAAGGCGCAACGAACGGCACGAGCGTGCGGCATTGCCTCAAGGATCGGTTCTGCAGAGGGTTCAATATCCGTGAGTTGGGAAGGCAACTGGGGGGGGAGCATGCACAGGTCCCCATTCCGAACCACACCTCTGTTCGAGGCAGCCGAGCACGCCCCTACGCGCAACCAGCACGATGGCGGACACGCAGTTGAGTATCTTGACACATGTCTGCCCGTGGCCAGCGTAGCGGAGCGTAGAGATCCGGCGGTGGTAGAAGATTTCCGCGCGCCCGCGTCTCCGACCTGGCTACGCCCTGTCGCTGCGCGCGGGACACGACGTTGAAAAGTGTTCAAGAGGGAAAGATCTTCGGGACCTGAGGAAGTTTCACTATGTGCCCGCAGTACGGTGGCGAAGGTCAGTAGATAGATGTCAGAATCATTAGATTGATCGACCCATC